AAAAAATCTTCATTAGTAAAATATCATCTTTCTGATTGATAACAATATTTTCATAAATTCTGTTCAACATAACCGTGGTCAACCATTCTATATATATATAGAATGGCGTTCCATCGGTCAAAAAATTAAGAAATAGAACAAAACTGTAGATAAATTGTCAATAGCAACTTCCAATTTAAATGAATTTCTATTCATCGTTATACGCAGAAAAAAATTGTAATGGAAAAATAGCATTAAAATGATCAAAAACTTCAATAATTATAATGATAAAAATCTGTCACAAATAATTCTAAAAAGAGGCGTGGATGTGGGTGGGTGTGCAGATGAAGAGGATATCCACACACACTCACAGCTTTTCATTAGAATAGTGTGATTCATTTTGTATCTGCGTCAACTTACGTACTTTTTCAGACAGAGAAAGAATTTTGTATTCGAACTGCCAGCCAACTTTTTCATGATAGGAATTCTGATCTCTATATGGGCATGTTGTTAGGATCGGTTTTGTAGATGAGTCAGTTCTGCTGAAATGATAGGGCATACCAGCGTAAAACCTCTGGTCTTTGGGTAGATGGTGATGCTTTTGATATAGTTAATATTTCTAATCAAACAAAATGATCATAATTGAATGTAATCTCACTATTTTTTGATGAAAGACAAGTGCATGGCAGGTATGAAAACGGTCTGCTATACTTTTTGCATCCAACCGATTTAAAACTATCTATGAGATGAAAGTACTCATTTTGGCTAATATTTGAGTACAGAATTCTGATACTGATGTTTTTGAAAATATCGATATCAGTATGAAGTACTTTCAGGAAAACTATATACCAAATCCTTCGGTCCACACAATTTTCTTATATTACTCAAAACATTTTCACTTCTCAAGTAAAATTTGTTCAATAGTTTCCTAAAATGTTCATATATCTATTCACTTCATTTTGGTATTTTGGAATCAAAACTTCAAGCATAATCCAATCCATTCTCAAAAAAATTAATGTTTTAAGGAAGAGGGGTCACCAAACCCTTTGATTTTTTAATATGTTGTAGAGCTTATCAAGTTACATTGACTGTTTTAGACTTTTAAAATATATCTCCATTTGAATATCATATATATTAATTGAATTGATAGACTGACTATTGTTCTAATTTTATAAAATGTTCTGTTTTTTTTAATGTAAATTTCTCCAATAGAGGTTTCTCCATGGTAAATATAACCAGAATGTCAACATTGAGTAATGTAATTTTGACAGTAAAACATCAAGCAAAGGAATGAAAGAAAATTATCAATAAAACACGTATCTATCTGTCAAATCATGCAATCGATCAATTATATAGATCTTTTACGTGGTCGATGTCAAAACTTACCAGATGTTCGATCGAAAGTCGTTCGTGTCTTTCTCAGTTCAACATTTTCAGGTTGAATAATTAAATATCAACATATTTATATTGAATATTTTTCTTCTTAAAATAATATATAGATACATTAAGTGAACGTGACTCGTTAATTGACACTGTTTTTCCTAAACTCAAAGATTATTGTCGTGAAAAATACGGTCTCGAATTTCAGGTTTACAATGATACATATTCATTGTTTGATTCAATCATTATTCTCTCATTTGTAGTATGCTGATATGCGTTGGGGAATTCAAATACAATCAAATGATAATCATACTGAAGTTGAAACATGTCTAAATGAAATTGAAATATGCAAAAAATATTCATTAGCTACAAATTTTGTGGTTAGTTATCATTAACTATTTATTCAAATTATTGATTCAACACTTCATACATAGGTTCTCTTAAGTCATCGTTATGGATCTCGACCAACACCGGCAATAATTCATACAGATCTATTTGAATTATTACTTGAAATTATTCGCTCAAATTCGAATGATGATGCTCAACTACTTTCACAATGGTATCAACTTGATACAAATCGAATACCGGCTGCTTATATACTTCGTCCGATTTCATCATCATTTCCAAATATATTATCTTCAGTAGTATTCATAGAATTTGATTGAAAATGAAATCGATATTTTTAGTTTTTTTTTTTTTTTTATCTTAGAATACAAATGAAATGAAACAAGCAGAAAAAGATTGGGAAAAAATTAATAATTATATTCGAACTTGTCTTCGACAAGCAGCAGCCAAATGTTTTGAACAAAAACAAATTGACAAAAACGAATATGATAATTTTTTCATATCGGGTATATTTCGTTCTTTTCATTTTTAATTTAACCTTTTTATTAATAATTATAGTCACAGAAAAAGAAATTCTCCATGGAATTCTATCAGCATCCGATGCTAATCAACGAACATTATGTTTTTTACGTGAAATTGAAAATATTCATGATCATATAACGGATAGTAAAGCATCAAAATTTATTGATTTACAATATTCAAATGATGGTCAACCGAAAGTTGATAGTGAAGCAGAAAATTTACTTAATAATCTAAAACATAAACGTATACCAAGTGTATTACAATCATCGAATATCTATTCATATAAAGTTCATTGGACACCAATGGGTATCAATCGAAAAGATCATATTGAATATATTACTCGATTCAATGATGATTTTTATAATGCAATCAAACAACAAATTGATCAATGTATTCAATCACGTATTTTAATCGATTCTGATTCATTACAACATGAAATATTGGAACATGCAATTCAATGTAAAACATATGTTGCAAAATTTCATGGTCGAATTGATGTTCTTAATCGAGTAAGATATTTGCTGCATTTTCTTTTTTATCAATCATTTCATTTATTTTTTTTCTTTGATTATATTGTGCGAAGTAGTTGAAAGAATATATCATGAATGAAGAAGAAAATCGTGCATGTATCGTCTATGGAGCATCCGGTTGTGGAAAAACCAGTGTATTGGCCAAGGCTGCAATCGAAGTATATTAATTGAATCAACTAGAAAAAAAGTCATACCATTGTTTGTATATCGGATGTTATTTATCTAGTTTTGATGGTAACATCTAAATTTGCATAGTGTGAAATTCGCCAAGCTGATTTGGCTTGTACATATGTTTATCTATTGAAAGCAATGTTAGCAGTTGAAAGCAGTATTTAGAAAGGATTTTCTCGTAATGAGAACAAAAGTCAACCTGAGTAGTAAAAGAAGAGTCGAGATATTGGATTTTTTTTATTGTAAGGAAAGTTATCTTGGATCTTACAGATTGGCAATATTGAATGAAGTATAGCATCATATTTACTTGCTATCTTCGCATTATTTCATATCTGATATTTATTAGAAGTGAAGTCTTCCGAATACAAAAGACTGCTTCACTTTTAAGAAAGAATCTATCCCATCGCTATTTCAAGACAAACTGGAATATGAATAAACAGATACAAGTTACTCCTAGTTAACCAAGCAAACATATCGATTTAATTCACTATCGACAGATTCATAGTTCGCTTAGATCGTCATGACCAAGGAGAAGAGATACATTGATATTGCTAAGAACAATTTCGATTACATCGATATGAAATGCCAAAGTCAAAAAATCTTTTCTTTCTCTCTCTCTCTTTCTGAATGCGGTATTTTAGCCCCGATTACACGTAATCACAAAAAATTAGAGATTATTCTCCATTGACCTTATGAAAAATTGTTACGAAATTAAGAAGTAACTTCATGTCCATTTGAAATGGTTCCATCGTGTTGAACATTTTAATCTCACATGGATTAAACTGAAAGCTTTTCTATAACATTTGCTCATCAGAGTGAATTTTTTAGAAATTGTAAATACTGAAAAAGATATTACGAAAATAGTGCGACTCGTTTATTCTGATCCGCCGGAAGGAAATATAAAATTGTACAATCACTTTTGTTTTTCAAAAACACTCTTAGGTATTGAAATGGTGGTCTGATCGATCTTTCTCAGTGATTCTACGTTTTCTTGGGTATGTATAACTAACATAGAGTGATTAGCCGAAAGTTGCGGTGAAACTGCCGTGAGGTCTTAGCCTACACATATTGCTGAAAGATGTAGTTCTACCGGTCATCACCTGAAGTATATATCTTTCGTGCACCCCCAATCATTGCTCTTGTATGTGATTGTGCTGATAGGATATGCCTCTCGTGGCACCCTCATTTTCGATCTACCATCAGGGATATGTCTTTCACATTATGTATTATTAAGAGTGGGATACCACGAGATATATATCTTGGGGAGGGAAGTTATCCGGTAACTTTCGTCAGCCAATCATGTTTCAGCAGGACTTTTCTCGACTATTGACGAGATAACAAGGCGAAGAGATAAGAGAAAGGGAGAGATGAGTAAAGATCCCTCGTTACCTCACCACAATTTTATGCTAAAACTTCACGATGATTCCACCACGATTAGTGGCTAGTAGTGCTAACATAAAATCATCTTCATACTAGTTTCTATGTTTTATAATTCTAATTTAATGTTTGTCAAAGAACAACACGTTCTTCATCAACAATTCGTAAAACACTTCTTTCAATATCTCAACAAATTTGTAAATTATACAATTTATCAATGGATATCTGTCCAGATATACTTCAATTACGACATCAATTAGAAACAAATCTATTTTTGAAAATACCTGAAAATGAATATCTTATCATATTACTTGATTCAATCGATCAACTTGAAACAGATGCATATGATTGTCAATGGTTACCAAAAATTTTTCCAAAAAATATCAAATGTATCATTTCAACTTTACCTGATCATGGTAATATACTTTCGAATTTGAAAATAATTATCAATTATGATCTATCATTGATTGAAAATACACAACATTTACTTGTTTTTATACCACCATTCGAAGCATCAACAGTTGATATTGTTTTTAATGATTGGCTTCAGACGAAACAACGTTCATTAAGTAATGAACAACGTTTATTTATTCGTCAATTAATGGAAGATAGAACAGAAATTTTACCTTTATTTATGAAACTCATTTTTGATATTATATCAACATGGCATTCGTACGATCCAATAGATGATCAGTTAAAAAAATTACGTCATGTCGACGATTGTATTTGTTATTTATTTAATCATTTACAAAAAAAACATAATAGTACATTATTTCATCGTGCTCTTTGTTATATGACAGCATGTCGTAGTGGAATTAGTCAAAATGAATTAGAAGATGTCCTTTCACTTGATAATGATGTTCTCAAAAGTGTTTTTCAACATTATATACCACCTGTACAACGTTTACCTGGTATTTTATGGACAAGAATTCGCAATGATCTCGATGAATATATAACAGAAAAGGAAATTGATGATTCTTCTGTTATCTATTGGTAAGACATCTAAAATAGAGTCTGAATATGAACTCAGACAACTTGTCAATAGTGCATCTTCATTAGAGATGGTCGATCCCAAAAGTTTTCAAACTCGAACTCGATGGATCCTAATCTCTGTAATATCGATAGAACATAAGAAAAAAATTTCAGCTTCGCCGAAGACATATGAAAAAGTTTTGAATTAGGACGGGACTCATTCACCACTCGCTATAGGTCCGAATATATACGAGAAAATGTTTTCGTTTGTTTTAAACATGAAATTGATCGGAGATTAGTTAACGTCAATAGATGTAAAGAGTAAAATCGATTACTCAAACTTTTAATCGAAAACAAAAGGATAATTGTTATCGTTTATCAAGAATGCAAGAAAATACCAGAAAAGTTCACTTTCTTTGCTCATATGATTAAGTACTCAACTTTACAGAAAAGAAAAACATTTTTATGAAATCTTGGAAAAAATTATTCGAACATCCAACTTTACAAACTAATAAATATTGACATAGACAGTAAGAAACACTGAAAGGGTGCACTACAGTTTGAACATCTCACTAAACCTTGCTACTTATGAAAAGAGAGATTCTAAAAAGCACATCATACGATGAAGATACGACAAACTCTGATCGTACATTGAAAAACATAGGCGATATGCTCATGATTTTGAAATTTCGCAATTTTTACACAATATCTATGCTAATTTCCGCTTCGTTGGGATATTGTTCAGCCTTCAATCGAAATTCCAATTGCAAAACATCCGAACTCATATAAACAATAATTGAGAAATCGCTTCATTTCGATTACTGATACATATTCATCATGTTTTAAAGTTTAATCATAATAAGAGTCGATTCGAAATTTTCATTTTATATCTATTAGGTATCATCGTCGTTTTATTGAAGTTGTCAATACACAATATATTTCAAAATTATCTGTTGATGAAAGAAAAATTATCTTTGGTAATATGGTGGATTTATACAAAGAAACATGGAAAGGAAAAAATAAACCAATTAAAATTGATGATCCAAAATTAGTCGACAAATATGACTTGAAAGAATCGAATGGTGAAATTCATGCAAATCGATTTATAACATCACAACCGATTGAATTTGTTGATGTCAATGGTCGTGTTCAATTTAATAAGAGAAAATTAAATGAATTACCACAATTTTTGAGTAAATTAGCGCCTAGTTTATCAATTCCAATTGCTGTCGATGAAATATTTTTCAATTATTCATTTATGCGTAATTTTTTTCAATGGATTTTTTTTCGTTTTAATTTTTTGTTTTTGAATCTGTTCAGGTGCCAAAATTTTATGTTCGGATTTCGATGATATTATAACACTTTTCTACGATTTTCAAGAATTATCATCATATAAACTTTCAAAAGAAACGGTTGATATGAAAGGAGAAATCAAAATTTTATTTTCAACATTCATGATCTGTGGTCTTCTTATTCAAGAATATCCGGACAATTTTGCATTTGAAATTTCCTCACGTCTACTTCCTCTTATGGGTATAAAAGAAAATATCACACGTCTAGTTAAACAATTCGATGAACAACATACTCAATATTGTGCACTAATTGTACCTTATTGTCAAATGCGACCACCAGGTAGTGGTTTACTCTATTCAATGAATAAACATACAACATCAGTTGTCGATCTTGATTTTACCGATGATCAACTGACAGCTATTTCTTTATCGGATCGAATTGTTGTAATTAATATGACATCAGGAAATGCAGTATTAGATATTAATTTACCTAATTTAAATGAATCATATTTAAATTCAACAACATTACCCAAAATCTATCATTCGGAAAAAGAAAATAAGAAGTCTACAAATTCAAATAATGAAAATACTCAATTTCAACAAATGCATTTTTTAGTCAATTCATTCCATCATATTTATCTTGTTTCAGCACATAATGATATTAAATTTGAACGAACATCAAAAATTGGCTTTCATATTGTTGAATTTCTTGATATTAAACGTGGTCTTTGTATAATTGCAGAAATTGATAGTTACTATATTGAATGTTGGGATGTTGTACGAAATCGTCTATTTAGTCGAATTGAATTATCTTCATCAAAAATTAAAAATATTCTTTGTACAAGTATTTATTCAATGATAATTATTGTTTGTCAAGATGGAAATATACATTTTTATTCAATAAAAGATTGGACAAAATCATCATTTATTCATTGTACTTCAATTCAAGCTGGTCAACATTTGAATTTAGTTGCTATCGATGGACGTTTCTTAATTTGTACATTCGATGCAAATATTTCCAATGATTTTGCTATTATTGATTTAAAATTAATTCATAAAACTGAACAAACTTTAATCGATAATCAAATTATCAAAATATTAGTCACTTTTGATCCTCCTATTACACCTAGACCAATAAAACATCTCGTATTACCAAACAAGGAAACGATACAATTCAATAAGAAAAATTCTAATGCATTACTTTTCACAGCTGTAACAAATGATGGTTTATATATTGTTCATTATTGTATAGCAGAAACTTTATCATATGTACGCATTGATGGTCATTATGATCTTGTTTCAATGCATGCAAAAAAATCGACAGATTGTATATACAGCTCGTCAAGGTATTATCGATATACATAAATGGAAATGTATTGCAAGTGAAGATGATGGTAATGTCAAAAATAATGCATTTCATAAGTATCAATTATATGTGTCCATCGATATTAGTTCATCATTTGTCACTACGATAAAACCGTCAGCTGAGAACGGTCAGTTTTTTTGTTTGTTTGATTTTGAAACTAGTGATCGTAAAAAAAAGAAATTCTTTTTTAGCATTGATATTTTTATGTTCGATGGAAAATGGAGTCATTCATGCGTATCATGCTGGTCAAGCACGTCGAGCTTATAAGAAAATGCCACCATTTCCACGTACAAACGAACCTATCGATACTGTTGAATTGTTCAATAGAATAGCAGTTACACTTGATAGAGATAAACGGTAATTTTGTTTGTTTTCAATAACTGATAATGAAATTGTTGGCATATCATTCACAGATTCAATCCGAATGTAATGTAAATTCCAGGACCGATAGGTACTGTCCTACATGACCAACATTTGTAGTTATGATCACGATGAATCACAAAAAAAAACTTACGCTTAGTCATCTATAGGAAAGATTGTTCATTGCTTAACACAGTATTGTCTGGTAAATCCTACTTTGATCGAACGGTGAAAGTGTCGAAAACAAAAATGAGAGATCAGAATATGGACGTAAGAGTGAGAGCGAGTATGAGGGAATTTCTTGTTTCATATACTATCATTTACAATATTTCTATTTTTCGATATTTTCATTTTTGACATTTTTAGTTTTGACAATAGCAAGATAAATTTGCTTTCTATCTGGTACAATGGCGAAAACTGAATCGAGTTTTTGTTTTTTTTACCAAATTGAATCTAATCGAGATTCTCTCATCTCTTTCGGCTCTTAGTGTGCTATACTTCATTAAATACGATCAGTATGAAAAAGAAAATATAGTTATTGTTCCTGAAATACACACTAGTGGAGACTTTCTCCAAAAAGTAGTGTACAATGTAGACTTATCAGAAGAAATTAACACTTCTCTTCTAAAATATTGAAAACTATTTTAAATTACAAAATCACTATCACGAGCATATTCACGAATTTTTCCTTCAATCACGATCACGCAGGACACTACCGCTAGGAAGCACCGGGTGTTTTTAGGAGAACAGAAAGATACGTCAATTTCGATACTGAGGATCGTCCGTCATACGTTTGCTCCGATCGTGCAAACTCAAGACAATTGTTTCATGCAGAAGTAACTCTCTCTAACGATTCTATAAGAAATACATATGTTTTTGGATATGTGAGACGGCAATTTTAGAAAACAAATCAAATCATCGGATTTTGACTTGAAACATCATCACTCATACCCATACAAAACACTTATCATAAGTTCTCTTATTAAGCATTTACACCAGGTCATGTTTCATTCTTGAAGTTCTGATTTAGATGAATAGAAACAATTGGTCATTTGAGATTCTAGCAATAATATTTTGATCATTAGACAATACCATTCTTTTACGTTTGAGTCGTCCCAATTATATTTGATTTCCTTTTCGAAGCAGGACATGAAAAAACGTGTCGCCCATATAGACGCCTTCCTTTCACAAAAAAGAACAGAGTAAAACTTTGGGTATAGCAAAAAACATAGAAAAGGAAAATATCGAAAAACAAATAGAAAAATGTCCAATAAGAAAACGTAGAAGATGAGAATAGCGAGATGAGAAAGGTCGAAAACGAATTTTTGTTTTTTGAGAAATAACGGAATGAACTATGTTTTTAAATCATCTAAAGGATAACAGAGCAATAGAGAACTGACAAAAATAGTGCCTAAGATCTGCTATAAATATCATGGATATGTAAAACAATATTATTTGTCAATTAATTTAATAATTATAATAATAAAAATGTTAAATTAACAAAAAAAGAAAAATAATGAGCAAATAGCAACAATGTAAAAGAAAAAAATAAAAGATTTCTGTTCGAAATGCTGAAATTAGAGAAGTCTTTACTCTAATATTCGATTATCTTGCAAAACAAGTATAGTCTACGAGAGAGTTTTCATTTTAGGAATTTTTGTATTAGTTTAATGAGGCTAGAGGACATATGTAAGTTTCTCATTTTAGAGCGAAAGGGGCTATGCTAACAAGCTTTTATATTGATTTCGATGATTGCATCCAGATTCTAGAAATATGCTTTTGCATTATTTAGAGAACTTTCTACATGGTTATATCAACATTCGACATCGATTGAATCAACTCGTCATTATCAAGATTCGATAACTGTCAGTGAATTCGCCATGACATTGAACAAGTTGGATGAAACTATGATTTTAATAGCCGTAATTACGAATAATAATTGGCTTGAAATTTATTCGTCGGCATTTCTTCATAAGAAACCTTTATTTAGTCTTCATCTTCATTCACCAGCTAAAATTCATGGAATGATGAATGGTACATTTCTTCTATTGAGAAATACTGGTTCATTATGTTTGATCGTTCAACAAATGAATGTTAATGGTAAAATTGAATTCAATCAATCAAATAATGTTCAATTAAAAATCAAATGTTCGATGATGTTCAGTTCACTAATAACACTCAATTTCACAGAAAATCTCGTTGTATTTGCTGATAATAGAAAATCACTAGCAATTTGGACAATAAATGATATTATTTATATTGATATCGATTTATCATCTGTATTATCATCATCATCACGTTTGATAAATATTACTAGTGAACGAACTCAAGATTTGATCTTATTATATTTTGATAACAAATATCTTCTTTCATGTCAAATTCAATTAGATCAATCGAAAAAAAATGGTTCCACTCAAATAACATCATTGAATCAAGTCGATCAATTTTGTTTGAAACAAAATTGTTTAGCTGCGATTGTAAATAAGAATAATTTACTTCATTTATACTCGATTCCTTTACAAGTTTATCACAAATCCATTCAATTAGAGAATCAATGTGAATACATGTGTTTAAATGAATCAGGCACTTATGTTTTTACTGTTATCAAATCTCACACATTGTACATGTACAGAATCAATGATCAACAACAATTGGCCAAATTATTTCTCTATGATTTAGTTGCATCGATGAAAGCTGATCATGATTTTCTTGTATTAGCTATGAATGATCGACGATTATTAACACTAATGATCGCTGATCCAATTGCTTCAAATCTACAAGAAAAAATTCAGACCTTACCGAGCAGGTAGAATCGATCATTTGTTTTGCGTATGATATCAAGATAACAGAAGAAGCTTAAAAGAAGAAATTTTAATGTTTTCTATCTCACAACTCTAATGTCCGTTCTTTTTAATCTTATAAAGTTCCAAAAGAGAAATTTTGACTATTTTCTAACTTTCAAAATTACAAAAAAATCCGACTGCATAGCAGAGATTCAGATAGCAGTTGTCCATATAAAACAAAGTAAAAAAAAAGTTAAAAAATTTCTATTCCAACAGTGGATGGAAGTCTATGATTGAAAATTTGCTGATTTTAACATCCGATATTTCAAGAAGAATTGTCTTCGAATAATTTTTATCATTTATTTAAAAAAGTTCTTTTTACTGATACAATACAGTTGAAAAAAAATCATTAGAATGATATTCTCTAAGTTAAGTTAAGATCATTGATTTTGATTAAAACAACTTGTTTTTATTTGTAGAATTCTTCAACGAACAGTGAAATCTGCTACTGTAAAACTTGTCGAACATATTCAAACATGTGCTGATATGAATTCAAGCGATGAAGATGATGATGATGGTGATTTTGCTGCTGATGATGACAATAATGAAAATGATACTCAGACAACAAAGGATGCCGTTAGAAATCCTATTCAAAAAACTGTACGACCCGTTACTTCGCTTCGTTTTGTTACTCGTCTGAATGGACGACATTCTCAAGCAAAAATGAATACCGCTAGTGGTACACTGTTAAAATTCATCGAATTATTGTCGAAAAATGTAAACAGTATCTGTATCAAACAATTAATCAATGATTCGGGTGAAGAAAATCATAACGACGATGATGTTGATATGGACTCGCCTATTGCAACAAATGAACATCAATATGTTGAAAATGATCTAAATGATATTCGTCAAAAAACATTCGAATATGATCAACAACAACTGAAAGGAATTCATCTGGCAAATGTGGGCAATCAGAATTTGAAAGTAATCAATAGTTACTCGGTTACATCAAATACGTGTATTATTATTTGATTATTTCTTATTTTACATTCTATCAAATAGATGATATTTTAAACAAAACATTTTAATCGACTGCTTCTATAATGATTATTCTTTTCAAAATAAATCGAATCAAAATGATTGATCTTGAGTGTGTGGGTATTGATGTGGGCACACAGTAGACCTACAGACCTCCATTCACATCCACAGCCACATTCTTGTTAGATGAAATTATGCACCGAAAACTTTAGATTCTTTCATCTCACGAAGTATTTTAATGAAAAATAAAAAGATAGAAGAAAGCAAACTGGCGATTAAATATTATTTTTTTCCTTTCTTTGTTTACTTAGCTTTAGTTTTGATTTCGCACCATTTTCAACATTGTACATGTAAGATGGAGATCAAAAACAGCTCGTTTTGAATTAGAATAGAGATTGTGGGTGGGGTGTGCATGTGTGTTTGAGTGTAAAGAAATGGAAGACATAACCCACAATCACACCCACATTCACACCCGCACATCCATATCCACATCCACAACCGCACACATCCATATCCACACGCACAACTTTTTTTTGTTCGTTTCTCTCAAATAGTGATTCTCTGTACAATCATTATTTTGTCTCCAAAATAGGATCCATATCTTTAATATTTGTGTTTTGTGTTGAGAGAAAACCGCATGTGTTTTAATGATAAGCAGTTATTTTGGTCTATACTGTATCCTTTCGCAGAAAGACCTTACAAATCTACTTTCGGTGAAAGCGATAACAAAGTATAAGACATATTGTAGCAAAATTTGTTAATTGTATCAGCAACTGATTGATATTTTGTTTCGTATCAGACAATACGAAAAAGAAATTTATAGAATGGACCATGATAAAGCTAGATTGAATTTCTGATATCAAATGTTTCTCTAGTACGACAAATATGAAATGATCATGATTCTTGCAATAAACGACCATACTAAAAGAAAAAAATAATTGATGCTCTGGTTGATGCATGAAACACATTTTGTACGCGCTCGCTAAGTCTTTATGACCTGTCTTGTTCCTTTTTTCTACTATACAGCGATACAAAGGTAAAGAAATCCAAAGTCTATTTATTGATTTGTCGTTCTCTCTTAGTCATAGTTGGCAATGTGAATCAGCCGTCTAACCCGTGGTAATTCTATTCCCAGAAAAAAAATATGCCAGTTCTTACGCTCTCACTGAAGTATATGTCTGACAATTTTTTATTCTGTGAAAATGTCAATAATCGTCTGCGACCTCAAATATATGTGTCGGTGTACTGAATGATTGACGAAATTATTTATCAGCTATACTTCCTACCTTGTTTTCAAGATAATTATATAGAATAATCAACTTTTGAATAATATATATTATTCTGCTCTTCCTAAAACAAAATCAGTTCATTAGTAATGGACATTTTTTTAATTTTTCGATTATAACATGTATTGGTCTTAGAAAAAGAAAATCTCGACTTCTATGTTAATTCTTAATTTTATTGAGGCATAAAAGAATGAGCTAAAAAGTATATATTTATTTAAAAAGCATTCGAATGGATTTCATTGATATTTGATCTATTTCTTTTATGTGAAGATTTTCGCAGAATCGATATAACTAAGGTCTATATTGGAAATTGTCAAGCTGACAAATAGGCATTATAATCTAGAACAAAATTACGACCTATAAGTTGGAAACAATTTTTTCCGTCGATCAATTGCGATTTTAATTTACAGGGGTAAGTACCGACAAAAATATTGACTCTATATAAGAACGCACGAATCTACTGAATTGATATCATACATTACATATCAACGGATTACATCCAATCAAAGTAAGTAAACACTTAATGGAATAATCACAGCCCTTGTCTCATGAATACTCTTCGACATAAACTGGACCGAGCCCAAAACCAAGAATACTGGGCTCGTTCATATCAAGAATGTACGATAATAATGAATAAATCATTAGATCATAATATAATAGTCAGACGTTCTAAACCTATCGACAAAGCTTGAGAATTATTTCGATCTGTTTACTAGAAAAATATTTTTGATTGGAATTAGAGAAGAAATGCGCTCGTTATGCATGAATACTCAGGTCAATTAAAAAAATATCATATTAATTCTCTTGTATTTTATTATTTAAGTTGTCCTGTTTTTATTACAATCTAAACGTATAAGATATTTTCTTAGTTTATTGCCACAGTTCAAAATTCATTTTAGAAGAAGCTTATCATATTCATAACTGTATCTATTTCAAATAAAACAATAATATGTCTGACGCAAATAGTCAACAAACACTTGATCAAATGGTTACTGATTATCACGAATGCTGCAACAGTGATCAGTCCGATGCAGCTAATACTCTCAGATATGAAATGGAAAAAATGATTGAAAATTCATGTTGTAACGCAGAACAGTCACAAGATGAGACAGGTAAATGATGATTCAAAGAAAACCAATTAAATAAAAATTAATGAAATATTAAAGCACTGTAAGTATTTGTATTATATCATTTAATTATAATCTTATTTATCTCTATCTTTTAGATTTATATTTAGTTAATATTTGTTCTATCTCTTCTTGATCAATTTACGACGAGTTTAGGTTATTTCGAATTCATCATCACTTAAATTTTTTCAATGAAATTAATTTTTTCTGTCTATGCAGAGTCTAACAAAAGTTCTATGTTCGTTGGATATAAACTTGATTATTCTCATATTAATATAGAATGTTTTTGATCACGTGTAAAATTTTAATGAAAAAATTTGAGTGCATGCTTAGTTATTCAAAAGTAAAATGCTGTCTTTTCTTGTTTTTCTATACATGTCTTCCTAATCCTCTGTTGTTGGTCAATATTTTCTTTTGATTATGTCGTTCTATTTATCTGTATTATTTTCATGTATTTTCTTCAAACATAATGTCATAAATATATTAATCAAAACAAAATTAGAATATGCAATATAGTCAATGATGAAATTGTTCGGGAGACTACATTATTTGATGTTTAAAACAGAAGAAGTTAGGTTGTATGAGTTCTATCGTCGTCACCTTACGATGCATCAATTGATTTTTCTCGAAATGTCACTTGACTAATGTTATCGTGATAATAATGATTGTAGCAGATGCTAAGTGGGGAAAGTATTGCTAAACATGTGAGTCTATTGCATAGAATATCCTGCAGTTGAATCATTACGAAAATTTCCAGCTGTGCTTCAAAAAATGTATATTTCAGTCCTGAACTTTTTCAGCTTCAATATTTCAATATTTGTAAACGTCTTTGTCGCAGTTTAGAAGTTTTCAAAACTCAATTTTTCATGTTTCTTCAATGAGCTATGAAATAATTATACGATCGAATGAAGAATAGTCGATATATTGGATTATGAGACATTTTATCATTAATTTTTAAATACGAAACTTGTTCATTATCTTATTGAACTTCTTTATACTGTTTCTCTACTTGTTTCTTGTTTAATAAACTTCATTATTGTATTAAATTTCTATATCTTTCTTAATTCTCTTTTTCGTATGTCAAAGCTATTTCAATTGATACAAGATATAATTGAATATTGATAGAATTTTCAAGATACAAAAAGACAATTATGCGACTATTGTTTGATCAATCTATAAACGTTTGACTGCCCGTGTGACAATTATTGAAAAAATGATCAGCTGTTTTTTTTTAAAATGTTATATCATGGTGCAATATGTCAAAACGGATGAATATTTTTGAAATTTGTTAAAATTGGCAGAAATGAGCCATTGTCGATGTACATTAATAATGTTGTTGTGTCTAAGTTGTCTGTATTAGCCACAGAGCCTAAATGGGCCTCAGTTATACGATGAATTTTTATTAATAAAATGTATTCTAAAACTGTTTCCTTCTCAGTTAATTTGAATTCTTTCTAATAAATAATTCGAACTCGAGTAGAAAATACTGTCTGTAATCGTTTACAGTAGGAATAGAAAATCGTCAGTGCTTCCACCGGTTCTTACTGTGAACATACATACGACGTGGATTCATCTTATTCATTTAGCCTTTATTTATATCATAAATCTTTTTCTAAGAATATTTAATTTAAATTGATTTATGCATTATAAACTCAACTAAATTTTCATGTCACATGTGACATATATTTTATTTTTCTTTCATTTGGAACAGCTTGTCAGGTTGCAGGATTGAGCAAAACTGTTTTGCTCAAATTCTTACTTTTATATAGGAGGAAAATTTTGGCAAGTCCAGAACAGGAAAAAAAATTAAAGAAATTATTTTGTAATAAACAAATTGCTTCTTTCTTGTTGTTTTTTGGGTTATTGGACGTGTGATCCTTAGCCTTCAACAAAAAAAAAAGTAAAGACTTAAGAAAAACAAAGTTGTGCTAAAGTAAGTCTCGTTAATCCTTTCTCGTGATCGAATTTTAATGCACTCAAAATATTTGTAAAGATGTTTTTAAAACATCATCTTGATTAATTAGAAAAGTAAAGAAACAAGATAATATTCTTAAGTTTTCTAATAACAAGAAAATATTTCATTGCTAGAAAGATGGACAACTCTCAAACACTATTTTCAAATTCATTCGATTTTTCTTACAGTTAAAAAAATGTATTTACACTATTTTTGACAATCTTACTTAGAGTTATCCAGTGATATTGACAGTGTGAAATCTTAGTGAGAAAATTAAAGTTACCTATCTTTGTATTTCTTATATAGATATCATGTTCAAGTCAAAGTTTTTTTTAGATAATTTGTATTCGAGTTCATTTGTTTATTTCTGTGTTACATTTTATTTGAACTAGCAGCATCGACTCATCTTGTTTCATTGATTTTTCAAAGCAACAATTACCACTAAGATTTAGTTATCATAATGACCTTGTAGTATATATTTCATATGTTTGATAAAACAAATACATTATTACCTTAATAAAGCAAATATACAAACATCAAAGAGTTTATTGAGTAAAAACAAATATTTTTTAATAATGATTTTAATAAAATATTGCGAAAAACATATATTTGAAAAGTAATAATAAC